CACACACACACACACACACACACACACACACACACACGCCATTAAAGGAAGAACGGTATATTCAGATAATTTAGACATTAAATAAACACAGTACTTTCTTCTAGTTTTAAGTATCACAACTTCCTTCCAAGTCAGATAATGTAAATTTGGAAGCCCCAGAAATGAAAGATACCCTACCCCAGGTGTTAAATCAGGAATTTCTATAACAGAATTGCCTCCTATTTACTTGTAGATTGTTAGTTCAATAAGAGATCATTACAAATGTAGTCATCTTGCAAATCTGTGTCCTTGGTAAGAGGATAGACTAGGTAAGTCCAGTTTTCCTAGCTGACCTCCGATCAATCCAACCCAGCTCTCAACAACCAAAAGCATTTGTCTTACTAACAGGTGGAACAGTAGCATCTTTAGAGAGGACAGCAGTGTACTCATACATGCGTGGTATTTTCATAGCTTTCAAAGATCCACAAAATTATGTACTGACACCAGTTACTGCCCTATATTAAATTTATAATAGGCATTTACTTAACAAAGAATTCCTTTGCTTTTTGGAGGTTAATTGACCATATTCCTTTGACCTACTTGGGAACGGTACAAAAAACAATGAAAGAATAAGCTAGCCTCAGATTGACAGAGAAAGAACTTGTGTGTTGGTCTAAAATGAAGTCTAGCTAGTGAAGCCAGAAGCAATATCTCAGCCAAGGAAGAGGGATTTTAACACAAGGTAGAGATCTAGCACGTAAGATAACAAATTGCATAAGAGCCAGAAGGGCTAACTGAGAACAAGCAGATACCATAGGCCAAGCCGGCAAGAACTTGAGTCCAGGGAAGTCATACAAGAGGAGGCTCAGAGAGGCTATGTCCAGAATCAAGGGAAAAAGTAGCACTATCTGTCTTACAAAGTTCTTTTTTTGGAGAAAGTGACAAATGAGTGAGTGGTTAAGGGTACAGATAGAGGTGGGCGGCCTGGTTGGAATCAGCCACTTACTAGCTATGTGACTTGGCACATCATTTGTTAATATCTTTTTGTTTTTTCTGTTTTAAGAAACTTCATTGAGATATAATTTATGTACTATAAAATGCACCCTTTTAAAGTATACAATTCAATAGATTCAGTATATTTAGAGTTGTGCAACCATCACCAATGTCTGATTTTCATGACCTCAAAGAGAAATCCCGCATCTATTACCAGTTACCGCCCCCCCCATTCCACCTCTCCTCCCCCTACACTCCTAGGAAACCACTGATCTACTTTCTTTCACTATAAAAAAAAAAACCAAACCTGTTGCCATTGAATTGATTCTGCCTCATAGCGACCCTATAGATTTCCCTATTCTTGACATTTTATATAAATAGAATCATTCAATATGTAGTCTTTTGGGACAGGCTTCTTTTAGCATAAAATGATTTTTTTAAAGATTCATCTGTGTGGTAGTATGTATCAGTACTTCATTCTTTTTTATGGCTCAATAATATTCCAATGTATAAATATACCACTTTTGTTTATCTATTCATCAGTTTATAGACATTGGCTATTATGAATAATGTTACTATGAACATTATAATATGTGTCTCTGTGGATATGCTTATTTTCTTTTCTCTCAGGTACAGCTGCCAAACTTTTTCAAAATTCATTATTTTACATTCCCATCACAATGTATAAGGGTTCCATTTTCTCTACAACCTTCCCAAGACTTGTTATTGTGTATTTTTTATTATAGCCATCCAAGTGAGTGTAAAGTGATATCTCATTGTGGTTTTGATTTGCGTTTCCCTAGTGACTAATGATGCTGAGCATCTTTTCATGTGCTTATTGGCCATATCTTCTTTGGAGAAGCGTCTGTGGAAGTCCTCTGCCCATTTTTTGGTTGGGTAATTTGCCTTATTGTTGAGTTAGGAGAGTTCTTTATATATTCTAGATACAAGTCACTTATATGATATATACTTAACTTCTTTGTTTATCAGTTTTCTTAGCTGTAAAATGTGGAAAATAATAACTTGTAAGGTAGTTATGAGGATTTAATGAGTTAAAATTTGTATAACACTTAGAATAGTGACTGGCACTGCTATTTAATTTTCCCATCTTAATTTTGTGTGTGGGTGTATAACTTTGGTTATTCATATGTTGATTATCTGTCTTGTGGCTCATTCTGGCTGCCCATAAAGTATACAATTCAGTGGTGTTGCTTATATTCACAATGTTGTGCAACCATCACCACTATTGTTTCTAAAACTTTTTCGTCACCCCAACCTTTGCTTATTTTTTGTTTGGATTGTTTGTCTTTTTTGTTGTAGACACTTTTAATATATTGTAGATGTTAAAACTTTATCATGTATGTGGTTGCTGTTGTTAGGTGCTGTCGAGTCAGTTCTGACTCATAGTGACCCTATGTACAACAGAATGAAAAACTGCCCTGTCCTGCACCATCCTCACAATCATTGTTATGCTTGAGCCCATAGTTGGAGCCTCTGTGTCAATTATCATGTGTATGATTTGTAAATATTTCCTCCCACTCTGTAGATTGTCTTTTAACTTTCTTGATAATGTCCTTTGATGCATTAAAGTTTTTAATTTTTAACAATTTAACAATATTTTGTTTTTACTTGTGCTTTTGGTTTCGTATCTAAGAAAACATTGCCTAATCCAAGGTTATGAAGATTTACCCTTGCGTTTACTTCGAAGACTTTTATAGTTTTAGCCCTTCTATTTAGGTCTTTTATACATTCTGAGTTAATTTTCTATATAGTGTGAAGTTGGGATCCCATTTCATTCTTCTGCATGTAACTATCCAGTTGTCCCAAAACCATTTGTTCAAGAGACTATTCTCTCCACCATTGAATCATCTTGGGACCCTTGTCAAAAATCAATTGACCATAAATGTATGAGTTTATATCTGTACTCTAAATTCTATTTCATTAATCTATATGTCTATCCTTATGACAGTAAGACACACTATTATGATTACTACAGGTTTGTAGTAAGTTTTGAAATCGGGAAGTGTGAGTCCTCCAACATTTTCTTTTTCAAGACTTTTTTGGCTGTTCTGAGCCCCTTGCAACGCCATATGAATTTTAGGATCAGCTTTTCCATTTCTACAAAAAAAGTCATTGGGATTTTGATAAAGATTGCATTGAATCTATAGATTGGTTTGGGTGGTATTGTCATCTTAACAATATCAAGTCTTCCAATCCATGAACACAGAATGTTTTTCCATTTATTTAGATCTTCTTTAATTTCTTTCAGCAATGTTTCGTACTTTTCAGTGTACAGTTTAGAGTGTTTTGAAGTAAGTGCTAAAACTATAAATTTTGTCCCCTTTTTTTGGACACCAAGTTTTAACCAAGTAACTTTTCTAAAAATACGTTTTCTGTGCTCTTATATTGTGCTTATGACATTTTCAATGACAAATACAAAGACTTGAGTGTTCTTGTTAACTCTATGGAATTGTTACTTCTTTATATTTTATCATTGTAGTTCAACATGAAGAAACAACTTATATTGCAATTGCTTTGAAATCGTCAATTCACCTTTATGTGTGGGCACCAAAGTCCTTTGATGAAAGCACTGCAATTAAAGTGAGTGATCTCCTTTTCATTTGGATTATACGATTTTTCTTCTCCCAGGAAATGATACACAGAGCAATGTTTTGGAATATAAGTGCACAAATATACACCATTCTTCTACAATTAATGTTTAACCCTTTTTTAGACAATTCACAGGCACCATAACAAAGGAGAGTATGAGGGAAATCCCTGACCCCTCCCGTTCCCACCAGCTCCTTACTCCCAATTACTGTAGTCAACATGAAGATGCTCTTTTCTAGAGCCCCAAACACAGGCTTTGGGTGCCACCACAATGGCTTGAAGCTGAGAAAGTCCCTATTCTCTTTTAGTGGGGGGAGGGGGTGGAAAGCAGAGGAAAGGTAAGAAGAGATGCGGCAGTGGTAGAGAGCGGAATCCCATTGGAGGAGGAATGAGGGAAAAGAAAGCCTTCTCCAATTACCAGGGCTACAAAAGATGGGGGTGGGGAGAAAAGTAGTGGGTCTATATTCCTTCCAAGCTAGAACTCTAAAAACGTTTCTCTCTAGAAATATTGTGAGGCGTGGTGGTTAGGTTTATTTGGATTGCTAGTATTATTTTCACCTTTAGTGTTGTTTAGCTGAATTTTTATGGATCAGCCTCAAAAGTTAATGATTTCTGTTTTCTCATATTCCATAAACTGGGAACTGTTTTTATCTAGAGTAACTTATAATGCATCAAAATTAAAGCTATTCCACTTAAATAGGATTATTTTGCATTTATTTGATAGTAATAAGGATGAGTCAATAAACCGGTGGCTTTATATAGAGTCCAGTAGCTCCTAACCTAAGCTGTACACCAGAATCACCTGGAGCATTTGATGAAAATTAAGATCTCAGACCCAACCCCAGGTTGAATTAGTGGGTCTGGAGTGGGGCCTGGGAATCTATATTTTTAACAAATGCCTAGTTGATTTTGAACTAGTTGGTCCACGGCGAATGTTTCCAAAGTACTGATAGGTATACATCCTGATAGACCCCAGGACGATATGCAGGAACTACTACTGTACCTTCGATCAGGATCTGTTTACATGGTATATTTTATAGGCCAATACATCATATGTATACAATAAAGATGGCCTAATTCTTATGACTGTCTCTCAATGTCTATTTGCACAATAAATAAACAGCATATAGACTACTATATAGACAGTCTGGGTCTGCCCTGACACAGATCACATCCCTGATCTGATCTCCCTAAACTGAGCCTTGGATCAGCTGTCAGTATTTGGATATGGGTTTGTTCTTGGGGGTCTGCTGATTGGTCAGAGCTGCCTGGTATGGAGCTGGAAAGCAAAGAGATAAGTACCAACCTTCTGTCTAGCCTGATACACAGTTCCTGTTCCAAGTCCTCACTCCAGTTCTTGAATCCCACCTCGTGACTACCGTATGATGAATGCCATGATACTCAGTCCTCTACTGTGACCTGTCTTGGCAGCGAATCCTGTTTTGGCCATTGGTTTCCTTGGACTAGGAACCATAGGAGCCTAGAGTACTCCCATTCTGTGGTAGGTTAACATGTCTCACCTTTTTCATTCCCTACCAAGTATGCATTGATCAATCAGCAGACTCTGAAGGAGACTACATGTCCTATGAAGCCTATATACGAATACTGGCAAAAATACAGGCAGCTGATCCAGCGAATCGGTTTAAGAGACCAGATGAGCTCCTTCACTTGCTGAAGCTCAAGGCAAGGAATTTAAAGATAACAAACAGAGTGTACTACCATGCAAAGGTCTTATGATCCTTGGCAATTTGCTCTTTGAAGGGAAACTCAATATTTATAATCTGAATATAAATATGTCCTTTTTACAATAACAGACCTAAGAGAAGCTATAATATATAGGTCTTTATCATAGTGCCATTTTAAAAATAAACCTGCATTTTAAAAACCTGCTAAGCAAATAGTGGGAGAGTTTTTGCCTTAGTCCAAGTGTCATTCTTGGCCTTTTGTCCATATTTGGTTTTATATTTGCAGGTATTTCCAACAGTTGGTCGTAAGCCAGTGACAGTTGACCTGGCTATTGGTTCTGAAAAAAGACTAAAGATTTTCTTCAGCTCAGCAGATGGATATCACATTATCGATGCAGAATCTGAGGTTATCTCTGATGTGACCCTACCCAATAACGTAAGATAATACCTTCAGATCCCTAGAAATTATGAGTTATCAGTATTAGAATTTTTTCAACTGTCAAAACCCTTAAAGGTTCAAAAATATGATTAGCAATATATATTTGGGAACTGATAACAAAAAGGTAAGTATAGAATACCGGGAACTAGTTCATGGATAAACAAAAATTGCTGATAGTTTCTTAGGCCAGACAGCTGAGTCTGTACTATAGATAGATTTTGTTTGTCTACAACAGTGTGTTTTGTTGATATTTAATGAATACAGTTTACATTTGAAAATCTGTACTTCTGTTGAAAAACCAGAAGATCTGACAACATCAGGTCCACATTTCTATCTAGCCATTATCAACTGGAACTGATTTATGCCTGTCCCATTTTACATGGGGTATATGCTCTGCATGTCCTATCCATCCATCTTTATGGATTTAGCATAACTAGCCCTTTTTAGGTATTTGAATCTGCGATCCTTCAGCCCTTGAGCACCCCCATAATGCATCAACAGATTCTTTACAAATACAACGTGAGTATTAAAATTTGAACCATTATTATGTATATCCCTCATCTTTATCCATATTGTATTACTTTAACTGCTTTGTATAACAGACTGTCATAGTGTTCTCTTATAGTATCAACTATAGTTGGGATTTTTGATTAAAGGATTCAGAAAAAGCCAATGTACCTCAACTTTTAACCTCTAAAATAACTATAAATAGTGAAAATATGCCTCAACACCTAAAAAAAAGAATAGTAATAAAAATACAATGCATATCATTTATACAAAAAACACCAGCATAGCATAGTATACTCACACACCCATATAAAATATAATTTCACTATATCTCAAATTCACTGATAGCAATGATGTTTGTATTATTGAAAATTATTTTTAAAAGAAAAGGCTGGAGCAGCATTTCTCTGCTTCACCCTTTCTTAATTTCCTAGTTTATAGACAACTAAAATTTTAGCTCTTTAGGATTATATAAAAATTCCAGGAGAAAACTCATATATTTTTAAATCACTGTGTAGTTGTAAGGAGCCCTGGTGGCACAGTGGTTAATGCACTCAGCAGCTAACAGAAAGGTCAGTAGTTCAAACTCGCCAGATGTCGCAGTCTGCTTCCATAAAGATTACAGCTTTGGAAACCTTATGGGGCAGTTCTACTCTGTCCTATAGGGTCACTATGAGTCCGAATCGACTCAAAGGCAATAGGTTCAAGATTGTTGTTGTTAGTTGCTGTTCAGTCGGCTCTGGCTCATGATGACCTTATGTGTAACATAATGAAACATTCCCTAGTCCTGTACCATCTTCATGGTCATTGGTATTAAATCACTGTAGCTATGTGGTGTTTTGAACAGATTTCAGAATTTCTCATATGTCTCTGAGAAATTACAGAGAGCAATTGTCCGATCATGAGTGGGGACATTTAAAAAAAGTGTTTTGGTCATATTAACAATTTCATTAGCTGATAACGTAGTTGTCACCTACAATTATATAGAAATCACCTTGATCATGTAGAAAATACTGAACCAAGCCCAGCCAAGTCACCTAACTATGAGGTCATGTTATTTTTGAGATAAGTCTTACAGTACTCTTTGGATTGGTGTGTCTTCCATAGCTTCCTGCATCTTATTTTTTTCTGCATCTTTTTTTTATGTTGTGTCAGATGGCCTTTATTTAAAAGTGAGTGCAGTACTGAACATTACAGTAGTGGTCCAAGTTTACACTTGTTTGAAAAGCCATTCCAGAAAGCTGAGCCCTCTATACCACTTGACTGCTAAGTAAAGAGAATTATTTCCTTGTGAGGCAATCATTAGTTAATTATCGTAGAAGCTAGCATAAGAGAGGATGAGTTTCTTTAAAACTGTTTTCTGACCTAATTAAGATAGCTTATGTATATTCAGAAATAATATTTTTAGCTAAATACCCTAGTGTCTTGACCCATCAAGAGAGAAAGGAGTCTAATACAAGAGAGGGGAGGGTGTCTTTTGAAACGGAACGTACTAAAAATAGTATTTTCCCCAAGAGTGCTAGATCACAAAAGCTGTAATGCTACAAGGGAGCCATGTGTGCTGAAGAATAATTGGTTACTTCAGGAATCATCTGAGAAGTAAGAGAATTAAATCTGAAGCATTCTGGATTTGCACCGGTCCTGTTTTATTCTAAACAGATTTTATTAAGACGACCTTTCTTTCTTGCACTTTTTCCTCTCTTCATCTCTTTTCTGATTCAGTTGCTCATGCGAGTGCCCAGGCAACGCATTAAAATTGCTTTTCGTCTCTGGATTCCCATTTTAGTTTTAAGGATAGTAGCTGCTGAGACATGGCCTCAAGCACTTGGCCTGAGTATGCTCAGTTTGGCAAGTATAGTTTCTGACTTTCTTCCTGTAATTTGCTAATTTTGAGAAGTGATAGAGTAGTGTAATTGTTCATTGATCAGGGAAATAACTGCTAATGTGACAATTTCTATAGTTTAAGCAAATTTTGTCACATATTTTATGCAGCATAAGAATTAGGAATGCTTGGGTATTTCTTAGTATCTCATATTATGTCATGTAATAAGTCTCTGAATTTGATAAGTTCCTTAGCTTTTGTGAGTCTTAGTCCTTTGTGTATTGAATGTATTTTAAGACTATATAAGTTAGATAAGAAACCATACATTTTGGGAGGAGAAGGGAAGGTGACTGTTATATCAAGCAGTGAAGAATATTATAAAGCTGCCTTTTATAAGCATTTTAAGCTCAAGCTATTTTTAAGTCAATTTTCTATTTCTGATTTGAATTGGCTGATAAGCTGTGATTTGATTGGTTCACATATTCATTACTAAAGTGTTCATAGATGTGCTGAAATTAATTTAAATTCAACTCTGTAGAAGTAACATCTATTATATGTAACATTTTGTGAAAGTGGAGCAACTTTCTCTGTGTTGGAAATATATCTGGACTTGTTTCAAGATGGTATTTCTCAAAAATGTAAAGAAATATTGCACAGTGACTACTTTAGGCCATAAGGAAGGCTCTTTTCAAGGTTTGGATGGCATGTAGTTTAATTTTGAAATAGACATTTTCTCCTCCTTTCCCTGCACTTTGAACCTCGTTTTGGTCTTTATTGCTCAGTCAAGCTGCTTCAATTAAAGTAATAGTGATAAAATGTTGGACACATAAATCTTTATGAAACATAATTCCAGCCCCTGGAAATCATTATACCACAGAATATCGTCATTCTACCTGATTGCTTGGGAATTGGCATGATGCTCACCTTCAATGCTGAAGCCCTTTCTATGGAAGCAAATGAGCAACTCTTCAAGAAGATCCTTGAAGTGTGGAAAGACATACCATCTTCTGTAGGTATGTATAAAATTTCTTAGTCTTTTAGATGATCCCAGAGCAGCTTTGAAAGAGTAAAAAATATGTCCTAATAAAAAGTTGCTTGTATTATCATCACATTTTCTCAAGGTACGTACTATTAATTTGGGATCCTGCGTACCTGTTCCCTTAGGAAGATAGTGTGTGTGTGTGTGTGTGTGTGTGTGTGTGTGTGTGCGTGTCGTATGCTTAATGAATTCACAGGAATACCACTAAGAAGCTGCTTTTGGTTATCCAATTTGTTGTTCATTTGAAATAGTTATGTAATTGAAACAGGAATGAATTCTGTTCCACAACAATCTATATTTTTAACTCCTTTTGCTTGCAGACTTTACACAGATGTTGAAAATCCTTCTTTCCATCACATTGATTTTTGGGGTTTACACTTATCTTAAGAGACTGCCAAATGGTGATTTAAAAAAGAGCAAAATACTTCTATTTCTCACAGTCAGTAGTGTTCTGTTTAGTGACTGATACGTCTGTGAAGAATCAAATTCAAACCGAATATGTGACATATTAGTTGTCACAAAAATTTCATCATTCCTCATTTAGAAAAAAGATAGATAATGACTGACTAGAATGCCTATTAGATACCACCCAGATGGCAAAGTAAAGATAACTGCCTTTTCTTCTTCATCAGACAAGGACCTTTTTTTTTTTAGTTCCTAACCATGCAGTGTTGCTGAGCTGGGAAATCAGAATAATTCTTGGGTATGTCTCTGAGGCTTGGTAAATATAGGGGTGATTGTAGATAGAGAACAGAATACATATGATAATTAGAAATATTAGAGAAGGCAGAAAGATTTGATAGAGGATAAATATGAAAGGAGGAGGAATTTAATGGAATAAATAAAGGGGTGAGAGAGAGGGAAAGAGAGAGAAAGAAGGAGGAAGAGAAGAAGTATGTCAACAGAGAACCCAGAAACTTATGAAATCTCTGTAAAATTGCTACATGTGGTTCTCATGTGGCTTTAAGGACCAGTTTGAAAGAACCGCCTTTTAATGGTCATTTTTCATTATGGGATAACGGCACTTTGCATTACATCTGCAGAATCCATTCTTTTTGCATACATAGTATTAAGGATTGTCCTGAAAACCTGTTCCATTTCCTCCAAACAGGTAAGAACTCACAGAGGGTTTATAACTGTTTTAAGTGACAGAAGGTAATGCTTACACCATAATTGACAGATCTGGGGCAAAAGGAACTAAAAATAAAGAATTTTTTCTAATCTTTACAGTGGTAGTTTTGTGATCAGCATGTTAATCAGAAATGGGAATAAGGAAATTCAATTCAAATGAGAGGTTGAAGGAATCCCTATATTTATGCCACTAGACGATCATAGGAATCAAAGAGATCTTGAAAAGTCATCTGGCACAGTTCTTGTCATTAGGACATCTTCTGACCTAAAAGAAAAAGCTATTTTAATTTGCTAGAATTTGAAAAACATCTCCCTATATATATATGTAAAATAAATTATAGTACTATAAGAACATGATATTTTTGTTTGCCTATTAAAGATTTTTGAGAATGTACTAAAGATTACAGTATAATACTAATATTACATACATCAATTACTCTATTTTTCTGTCTAAAAAAAACCTTAGCAATTTAAAACTAACCCAGATCCATGTGTCCCCAATCTTAAGTTTTACACTTCCTCAAGCTATAATAAATATTTATAATAATAGGATAATTGCTTTGGATTTCCAAACAAATGTTTAGAGGCACAGCAATCACAGCAAGTATTACTAAGTGTCCAGCCTCAGAAAGCAAGCTGTCCCATACAGCTACTCAGTAGCTAGGTTTAAGTGGTGAATTTATGTGCCAAATTTTTCAGCAGGCTTTAGTTTCAAGACTAAGGTAGAAATTTTGGGATGCTATATCAATTGTGTACTTGAATTCAGCAAGTAGCCTATGCATTAAGCTTAGAAATCTCCGCCCTGTGAGGTTGTTGACAAAAATACCATTTTTAATGAAGTAGTCACATAGGTGAATAAATACAAATCCAGATAGACTGTATCTATTACTTGTTCGCATCACTCAGGCCATTGTGATTTCCCTTGCTTCCTTTATATCTGGGCTGATTTTAAGTCTAATCTGAAATTAAACTTATGAAGTCTTCTTCCAGGAAAGCAATTTTTCTGAATCAAAATGATTGTAACTTAATTACAATTTTGGTATCATTTTCATATGCATCATATTTTGAATTTTAATGTAAAAGGAAGGAGGAGATAGTAAATGCTTCACAAGTTTTAGTTGCAGGATTCAAAATGGTTCATACTATGCCTATGAAGAGTCATTTTTATAAAAGCTTAATAATATCTTCATGAGTCCTTTTATCCATATTTAATGCGTACAAACACAGCCAGATAAATTTTTGTTTAAACAAAGGCATTCTAGAACATTTGAGAAAGATAAGGAAATATATATATATATATATATATATATATATATACACACCCCAAAAAAAACCATTGCTGTCGAGTAGATTCCGATATATATATGTGTATATATGTGTGTGTGTGTATATATATCTCCAAGCCCTGGTGGTGCAGAGGTTAAGTGTTCAGCTGCTAACCAAAAGTTCAGCAGTTCAAATCTACCAGCTGCTCCTTGGAAACCCTATGGGACAGTTCTACTCTGTCCTATAGGGTCACTATGAGTCAGAATTGACTTGACAGCAGTGGGTTTGGTTTTATATATATATTAATTTTTATCAACATTGAACTTCTTCTGTAATGGAAAGTCAAATTAATTCACCGAATTCTGATTTGTTGATATGGGAATGAGGGTGCCTTATTTTGGTGTTTTCCAGACTATTTTAGCTTTAGTCAAAATCTTGATGATGTTTTAAGTACTAGAATTTTGTTTATTTATGGAAATTTGCTTCCCTTTAAAGAATATAAAGAATATCAACTTGAAATTTCAACATTTAACAGTTATGCTTTTCCCTATGCCTGAAAATACCTTACAACACCAGCTGGCTGTATGGCTATTTACATAATGAGGTTTCTGCTTTAAGGTAATTATTATCATCATCTTTATTGTCACAAAGTAATATAAACAGGACCAAAAAGTTAAAATATTATAAAAATTTCCTGAGCAGAAGAAAGCCTTAACGGATTCAAACAAGCTTCAGTTCTCTTTATATAACATCGTAATTTATTGAATTGCATTAGAGTTGCTAACGTCATTCTTGCAGCAAGTCATTTTTCTTAACAGTTTTCATTTTTAAGAGTCAGGTTTCCATGTATATCACTTGAGTACAAATGCAAACCCATATGGAATGCTGTACTTTACCAAGACTAAAATAAAGAATGACTGGGTAGATTTGAATTTCCCTAACTAACCCTTGGCTTTTTCTGTGGTATTGGAGAAGCCAAGAGATCTAGAAATTCTGTGTTGGTCACAATGGTATCATTAGATAGCTGGTTTGAACATCACTCCTGAGCAGCAAAATGACCAAATGACTGACTATAGAAGGAGAAGAAAATGGAGGGATTTTTTTCAACCTAAACTATAACAGTGAGCCTCTTAATAATCAAACATTGACTGTCGTTATAATTTTCTTTCACTGCTGGAAAAATTTTGTGCTTTTATAATTTTTATTGTAGCTTATGAGTGTACACAGAGAACCACAGGATGGGGTCAAAAGGCCATTGAAGTGCGTTCTTTGCAATCAAGGGTTCTGGAAAGTGAGCTGAAGCGCAGGTCAATTAAGAAGCTGAGATTCCTGTGTACCCGAGGGGACAAGGTATAGCTTACATCTCCCAGTTATAACAAAAATAAAGCAAACATTATAAATTAACTAAAGAAAGTTATATCCTTTTCCTTCCAGCCATGAATGTATTTGTGCTATATTTTTCAAATTGACTTACTATTGATAAAAACAATTCAACATTTTACATCAAAATATTGATTTGGTAAATGATAAAATTTGGTTTCAAAAGGAAGCCATTTTTTTAAAAAGTAAAAATTCTGCTCATGTCCTAAGGGAAGCTTAGCTATTATCTTGTTTGGTGTGAAATCCATTATTGTCTTTGATCCATAATCCTTTCTATTTTCATATTAAACTGATATTTTACACAGTATGCTTGAGCAAATCTGCCTTTTAGACCTTTAGATAATAATCTAATAACAGAAAAAGGAAAAAATTATGTGGTAGGCCTTGTGCTAGGTACTTTAAAAAGTTATCTCATTTAATCTTCACAAGTAGATATTACTATGTCCGTTTTGCACCAAAGAAAAATAGAAGTTGAGATTTGGCAATTACTTGGATAATTTTATCAATTTCGATAACCATTTCAGATGGTTTATATTGAAAAGATCATCACATAAAATCATTTTCAGTCTCCACATATTATGAGAAATAAAAGCACAAAGCTAGAATTAGAAAACATTCACATTTAGAAGACACTGCAAAAGGATTCAAGTTAATATCAGAACAACTAGGGTAAAGCAGTGTACATCAAGGAAAGGTGCCGATTTGCAGTGCAAAGGGATGTAATGGAAAGGTCCAGTGTTTGAGATAAGACAGACCTAGGATGCATTCCTGGCTCTGACACCTAACTAGGTGTGAGAAGCTGAAAAGTTTGATTAATCTCTCCCAGCCCTAGTTTCTTCATCTCCAAAATGGGGATATTAATAACTGCTTTGGAGGTCATTGTGAGAATTAATGACAATGTGTACATAGTAAGCATCTCACAGAGTGCCTGGCACATAAAAGGTGGTGAGTCAAGGGTAGCTAGCATATCTTATCATTATCATCATTTTTATGTCACAAACCCTCCTAAGTATAACCATTGTGGATGTTGAAAGCCCCAGTCATGACAAAGAGGCCCCTGTTTGATATTTATGTCCATGTTCTAGTCTGATTTTCTTTATGGTACAAACCACATTTACCCAACATGTCCCTGTCTAAGCCATTGTGTTTAACTCGTATCAACCTATTGATGTTGGTCCATTCCACTGAAAGAGTGAATTGCAAAGTAGAAAATTTCAGTGGCCACTTAACACCAGCAGCAATGGCAAACAGCAGCTAAATAATTTAATTGTTTCCTTATTTTAGAAGAAAAAGAAAAGACAACTTGAGTAAAAGTGGTAGATTATTGAAAAGAAGACAGAAAAAGGGAATTTTTTAACTAAAACTAATCAAAAACTTTAGCAGATGAATGCCACCTACAAGAAACTAACTTTTTTTAAGCCATACAAACTAAAATTATATAGAATACGGTAAGCAGTTATTTTTTAAATCTATGATTTAGACTCCATACTAATTGAAATTCTTATTCTTTTTTAATTTCTTAATATTTTATTGGCAGATGAAGAGGAATTGAAATTATAGTTGCATCATAGTACTTAAAACTTTTGTCTATCGAATATAAGGTTAAAATATATTAAATATCTACTGACGGTGTCTCTTTCTCTCTCTCTCTCTCTCTGTTTTAAAGCTGTTCTTTACCTCTACCCTGCGCAATCGCCACAGCCGGGTTTACTTTATGACCCTCGGAAAACTTGAAGACCTCCAAAGCAATTATGGTGTTTAAAAGATTCCAGTGATTTATTATGATGGCATTTACAAGCATCACAAATATGCAGTTTGCATCTTTAAATTTCCGAGATTAAATGAGCATTCAGTTTTTTTGTTGTTGCTGTTGTTAGGGAAAATTAAATCAGAGAATTAACTTTTAATGTAGCACAGAATAGTTTTAATGAGAAATGCAGCTTTATATAAAATTAACTATAGCAAGCTCTATGTACTCCAGTGGTGTACAATGTCTTTTGCACAAACTTTGTAACTTTTGTTACTGTGAATTCAAACATTACTCTTTGGACAGTTTGGACAGTATCTCTATCCAGATTTTACAACATGGAGTCAAGAAACCTGTTATGAGTTAGAGTCCAGGTGGTTTTCAGAAGAATTGGCCCTGACTAAAAATTTTCAAGAAAAGAAAATCAGCAACAAACCATGTGTGATTGGTCCAAAGTCATACATAGAATCAAAAGTTAGATCATGAACTGAAAATAGCAAGGACTATGCTGTAGAGCAGACTGATGTCTGCCTGGTTCATACCTAGAGATGCTACAGTGAAAACAGGAAAAAAACAAACATTTGCCATGAAGTCGAATCCAACTCCTGGCAACCCCATATTGTCAGAGTAGAACTATACTCCATAGGGTTTTCAAGGGCTCATTTTTCAGAAGTAGATTGTCAGGCCTTTCTTCCCGGGCACCTCTGGGTGGACTTGTACTTCTAACCTTTCAGTTAGCAATCGAGCACTTAACTGTTAGTGCCATCCAGGGATGCCCGATAAAGGGAGAAGAGCCACCCATTTCCTCACTGATTGTTTGAAGGACCTCCATAACGGTTAAGCCCACAGAGACCAGTTGTGTGCTTTTCACCCCATATTAAGCTAGTTTTCTCCTGATAAGAAGAAAACCTCAGATACTTGGTTTCTCTCAGAACCCCAAGAGGTGCAATAGCTGTTTTTACAAACCACCAAATAATACACTTGCAAGCCTGAATACAGGACTGATCTCCTATACGCATGTACTGTAGAATGAGTTTTTTGTTTTTTTCTTTTTCTTTTTAATCCTTTAAAGTAGGCGTCAACTCGTCCTACAAGGATGGATTGGATTCTTGTCTGGCCAACAGTGTGACCATAAGATAGCATCAGATATTTTCCCACCCCTATATTAAACTATATAAAATTGCCCTCTGGTTATTAAACGAAAACTAGAAAGCATAACAGCAAAAAAACTTTGCTAATACTCGTCTTTTTTGTGATTCTGTGAAATCAAAACTTAATCTGAAAACATTTCAGTGATAAGTTCATATGTAGAGACAGGTTAAAAAACTTCAAAGATTTTGTAAAAAAAAAAAGTAATAATCTCATCACATATCTGAGGCCACAAAATTAGACTGATTATTGAAAATCATATTAGTCCGTCATCTAAATATCTTATAGACACCACAGATAGGTGATGTTGGTCACCTGTGGTGATTTCTACCTGGTAAAAAGTATAATTTCTGCATATTCATCCTCAATACCATGGTTGGTTCTGGGGCAGTAGAGAGGCAGCAGAACTACCACAAAGTATACCTCAGTATAATTCCTCTAGTTCTGCTTCTAAAATTGGAAGACAGTGCTAGTGGGATAATAATTTCAAACTACCTGGTTAACCAAAATACAAAAGCAGCTGACTATGTGTGATTTCAGGACAGTACATAATTTCTGGCACCCTTGGTGCCAGAAATGAAGATTTGGATTTTCCTAACAACTTATATCAAGAGTGTCGTAGCTCAATATTGAGAATTTAGGAGAACCTGAATCCATGAATTAAAGAAATAAATGTGACTCACATTTCTGTTACTGTGACACAATAATGTGACCCTAAAACTGGCTTACCCTTGAGTGTTTACAACTCGAATGACTTTTTAAATACAGTAATTTAAAAAGAAAACAAACTTTTATGTCAAATTATTTCCTTAGAAATAATCTGCATTACTATAAATTTGTACACCAAAAAGGCCATGGGGAACTTTGTGCAAGTACCTCATCGCTGAGAAAATGGAGCTTGCTATGTTTGAATTTCAGAAATTGTTCTCATATAAGTAGTGTAGAATCAAGTCTTTTAAAAATTCATTTTTTTCTTCATAATAGTTACTCAAAGTTAAGGTTCAAAATTAAGTCTTATATTAAAATCATATTGTTAAGGGAAGTAACTATTTTAGTAAATCAACTCCCATTGTACTCTGTGGCTGTTATTCCAGTTAACATTGGACATTTTTAACTGAATCTACAAAGATGTCCCAAAGTAACCAAGCAAGAGAGATTGCAGATTCGTAACTGAGCTTTAAAGGATAAGGTGTTAATGAAGAAAGGAAGCTGGGCACATATCAAGAAGGATGGTTGTAAGGTAGGATGTCCAAACAGCTAAAAACCAGTTGCCTTCAAGTCGATTTCAACTCATGGCAACCCCACGTGTGTCAGAGTAGAAGTGTGCCCGTAGGATTTTCAGTGACTGATTTTTTGGAAGTAGATTGCCAGGCCTCTCTTCTGAGACACCTCTGGGTGGACTTGAACCTCTAAGCTTCCAGTTAGCAGCTGAGTGCATTAACCACTTTCACCACCCAGGGTAATAGATTTAATCACAAATATTCATCTGGAGCCTTTAGATCCTTTGCCAACTGAAACTCCAAAGTGAAGGGACAATGACAGTGCATAGTCAGTGTACTTTGTATCTGAAGAAATTATATCTACACCCCACCTCGTAGCAATAGCACTTGGAAGCCCCAGCCCATCACAGAAGCATGGACAGGGGGCCCTGGCAAGCCAATTTTCTAGTCCTGCGATTTGAAGCATGAAAGGTTTGACTGGTTATGAGCAGCGCTGGGGACAGTACTATAGTCTTATTTTAGTGCAATTTAATTTTTTTCACCAAAGCCCTTTTCCAAAATAAATGGCATTATTGAAAATTAGAAAATGATAGGTGAAAAGGGGTGATAAGAAAATTTCTGAGTGATTACATCTGTTGAAGTAAGATCCTCAGTGAAAGCAGAAAGAAGAGGGGGATAATCATTATTAAGACTGTAAAATAGATGCAGCAGAATCACACATATGCATGCTTACAAAACATTAGAATGCATAGATTTTGATATTTTCAGTGCTACCAGTGTCTAGATAAATTAATCACTATTTTCTGCCAAGGTTCACTTAATTGAAACAGTATGCATAAAATGAGGAATAATGCCACATGCATTCAATGGGATCATTTAAGTACTCTTTTCAATTAGTTTTGAGAAATGTGCCTATTTAAATCTGCTCTAACTTAAAAAATATATTGAAATAATCTTTGAGACTGCTAATTGTTTTATCAGAAAATCTGCAATGAATCAGTGTTTATCCTGTAAAAATAAAAATTATTAAAATGATTGATCTCATTATTAAAATATACTTGCCTAGTGTCTCAAAATTCATTTATTTAATGTAATAATGCGCTGATGGGAAGGTGTTAGGGGTTCTGCCTGTTCTTACCATTAGGAGTTCTGGCCAAGGAGGGGGGTCTGTTAATCCGATTAGAACTTCCTGGCTACAATGGTGGAATAAGAAACAGAGGTACAGTCTCACACAGTATGGATAAAGCCCAAACAAATAGAAATGGTGCCTGCCTTCCCACCCACCCCAGTATCCAGAAGTCCAGCGGAGAAGAAACAGAGACGGAACCCTATCAGAGAGAGGACTAAAGATTTATAGTTTCTTAGCATTCATGAAAGGATTTAGGGCAGGCTGATGGTGGAAAACGGAAGATAGAGTAATTATGGCAACCTGCACGTTATCAGGAAAACTAAGCCCTTCCTTGGTGGCCAGAAAAGCAACAGCAATTCTCTCAGCAGGTCTCCGCAGTTTTGCATTAGGGGCAGAGTTCCACGCACATCCTATTGTCTCTGGTCGTTCTGGAGAGAGGTTTATCAAGCCCTCCATTTAGGGCCAGCTGGGTGTGGTCCTAATTTGTCAGTTGTGGCCAGGGATTCAACAGCTTGGGTACCCAGACACATCAAATACGCGCAGGCTTTTAGAGGTTCAAAATGTTTTATTACAAATTGACCCAGCTTTACATATAGGGTCCACAGACATCAACTACTTTAAGGGACAGTGTCGTGAGCCAAGGAAGAGTATCATAACAAATTGGAATTGCCAAGTGAAGCCCCAAGGCTGAGAGAGGGCATTATCCTAGGAAAAATTTACCAAAGCGTGGGGACAGGGTAGGTCATGAGTAGAAATCACTATTAGTAACTTCTCACTCACCAGGGGAGCAGTGGGTTTAAGGACCTCCATGTTGCAAGTCTATTGACAATATTTTAACAGCACTGTGATTTCCATTCCAAGAGTACTTTTTATTTATAAGCTCTTTGCCCTCAATTAAGAATACTCAGATTCCTGAAGATACTAAAGCCAGTGAATGTGGCCACTCAATTTATAAAACTGAAGCAGCTAAGAAATTAAAGCCTAAGCAGGTTTCAGAACGCGTTGCCACGTTTTATATCTTATTGTTCACAACCATGTCAACTGATTCAAAAAGTAATCACCAGAATAGTTCCAGAGGGAGTTAAAAATGGATTTGTATTTTCAGAAGCTAGTCCACAGCCAAGTTTGTAGACAAATACCAAATCGGGTTTGGGATTAACTCTTTTTTATACCTTTACCATCCCACGTGTCCAAGTGCCTAGTTTGGTGCTTCATATACAACAAAGTTTCAATAAACACACAAGTTAAAAGGGAAAAATGGACCTTTTTTTTTTGCCTGGATCTTCCTAGGTGATATTTACAAATCCACCAGACACTCCTTGGAAACCCTATGGGGCAGTTCTCCTCTGTCCTGTAGGGTCTCTATGAGTCGAAATCGACTCAATGGCTGTGGGTTTGGTTTTTTGGTTTGGGGTAATTTCCAGTCATCTCACTCCACAAACCTGAAATGAAGTCAAGAATAAGTCAATATAAAAAGTCTGGCTGTATTATTATTTTTATCTTTAAAAGCAACACATTAGGGGCCACTGTACCCCTTTGGCGCAGTGTTTAAGAGCTATGGCTGCTAACCAAAAGGTCAGCAGTTCAAATCCACCAGCCGCTCCTTGGAAACCGTATGGGGCAGTTCTACTCTGTCCTATAGGGTCACTATGAGTCAGAATCAACTCGACAGCAGTGAGTTTGGTTTTGGTTTTATACTCCCTTAGTAATTAATTACTCAAGGCTCATGAGTAATGGCAAATGTCTAAAAACATAAAAACAGTACGAAAAAATGAAAGATTAAGCCATTCAACTGGTTGTTTTGCACACACAAAAACTTGGTTTGAATGTGTTTCTGTTTCACAAGATAGAGTCTTATGTTGTAGCATCTTGAGACTTATTTAAAGGTCTTCAAAGCTCGTCAGTATGACACTTTTTCATTCAAAAATGTTTAAAATTTTTCCATAAGCAAATACAAGATATCAGATCTCAGGCATTCCCTAAAAACACTTTCTGAGCAGATGAAATAGAGTCTGTCTGCAGGTGGGTAAGTGTCCATTAAAATGCATGTCACATGGGCCCACCTATCCAGAAGTCTAAAAA